TAATTATATTATTAAGCGGGGCGGGGGTGGGGGCGGGTATGGGGACGGGGACGGGGTGGGTATTAACATCCCCGCCCCCGCCCCGCTCCCGATTTTATCAATCGGGGAAAACCCGAACCCGATAAACACGGGTTTTCCCCATCCAAATCGGGGCGGGTTCGGGCGGGTACCCACGGGGGCGGGTTAGATTGCCATGCCTACCTACTAGGAAGAAAGCAGTCTTCTCTCATGTGTTCAAGACCAATAAGAATGGATCCCTCATTGATTCTGGGTACACAATTTTTTTTAAACCTTATATGAAGAAAAACATTTTTTGCTTCTACCTTTTCATCTCCTACTAGGAAGAAAACAGTCTTCTCTCATGTGTTCAAGACCAATAAGAATGGATCCCTCATTGATTCTGGGTACGCAATTTTTTTTAAACCTTACTCAAACATACTATAATATTGTATCTTACATTGTTCATTATCTAAGTTATTACTATGAATTTCTAACAATTGGTATCAAAGTCTTTAAGATACAGATTATGGTTGTTCTGGGTTATAGAATTTGTATCAAACGAATCCTATAATTATATTGATAATATTATTTACAAGTTGTATATATAAAAAAAATTATAATTTTTTATTGTAGGATATTTATCCTAATGTGTAAATATTGTATATGTATTGCAAATGTCATTTATTAGGTTTGATTCCGATTTCGAATAACAGAAACTATTTTCTTCTTCGTTCAAAAATGGCAACTCAGATTATATTCATTAATTGAACAAATTGACAAAGGGATTTTATTTCTGCATGTATTTCAAACCTTGTGTAATTTTTTTTTTCAAACTTGTTCTATTCGGTGAGCAATTTAGATTCGTTTTTCCTCATTTCTTGATGATTATTCATTGCAATTGATTGGGGGCTTTTGTTTACCTTTGAAATTTGAATAAATCTGCACATTTTGAGAAGGAATTAATAAAAAAAATCTGATGAATTTTTTGTCATGAACGGTGGTAACACACATACCTACCCACTCATAGTCCCAGGTGCGTGAGACCCCTATTTTGGCCCGAAAATTTATATTAATATTTTAAAATTAAATAATTAATTTTTTTGATTATTTGGTATATTATTTGTAATTTTTTTTATACCTGTAAATATTTTATTTTAATTATTCCAAGAATAAAACTTAATTTGAACTTAATTTTAAATTTGTACTCTTGGGATTTGGGTCTAATATATCTCTTGTTGTCTCAGTGACATGTTAATATGTTGTACTCTCCCTGGTAGCATATATAAACTTGAGTTAAAAAACTTTTGACCCTTATTTGTATTAATAATTGTTTGTTTTGTACTTATTTCATATGTTGTTCATGCATAATATAATTTTATTATATTTTTTTAAGCATGAGTAATATAATTTTATATGATTGTGAGCTCACCTAACGTGGGTATAGTTATATGAAATTTGTGTGAATGAAATAATTATTTTTCTAATTAATTTTATATTACATTAATGATAATTATGCCCCATTGATATTTTGTTGTTAATGTATTTTCGTGTTATGATACAATGCGTTTTTAATTTTTTCTTATGTCAATTATTTGTCATGTACCCTATTGGTATTAGTTTTTTTTTATACATGACTTGTGTGTTGTATTTGTATTTCTTATTTGTTATGGTTTGGGACCCTTAGGCGGGATCATAATCAATGAGAATTTTTATATTATAGACAGGTTTGGTTGTGTATTCAAAAACATTTAATTTTTTTCATTGCATAATGATTATGCATATTAAATGTTTCTTTGTTGTTTTGATACCTAGCTTCTTTGCCTATGCAATTGACTTCGATCAAAACTTTGAATGGGATAAATTTTGAGGATGGAAAGAATCTCTAGATTTATATTTGTCAATTACTAATATGAACCTTTCTTTAATAGAGGAAAAGCCTCCAGCTCTTACTCTTGAGTCCACTATTGTCCAAAGAACTTCTCGTGAGAAATAGGAACACTCAAACATGGTGTGTCTGATGATGATGAAATACACCATGGAGAAGTCTATTTGACAAAGCATTCTAGAAAATGATAAGGCTAAGAATTTTTTGAGGTTAGGTGGTGAGAAATTTAAGACTTTTGACAAAGCTCAAATTGAGAAGACCAAATATGATGGTGTCAGTGGTGTTCGTGAGCATATGATGAAGCTTGTACACTACTATAATAAGCTCAAGTCTCTAAAGGTGGGGCTTGGTGAGAGTTATTTGATTTGGCAGGTTTTGGAATCTCTTCCTTCTCAATTTGATGTGTTAAAAACTTCTTACAACACTCAAAAGGAGGAGTGGACAATTGATGAGATGATTGCCATTGTTTCCCAAGAGGAAGCATCAATTAAAAAGACTAAGTCTCATAGTGTGCAGTTTATAGGTTCTACTTCTGGCACTAAACATGAAGAAGGATTTCAAAGGCAAGTCCCATTTTGAAAATGCGAACACAAGGAAAGCACCAATGCATTTGGAGCCTAAGAAGAAGCGCTTCAAGGGGAATTGTGCCTATTGAAAGAAATTTAGGCACAAGATAAATGGTTGTTATCTTCTTAAAAAGAAGAATACAAACAAGGAAGGTATACTCCTATTTGCTCTAGCTTGTTTTGAATCTAATATGGTTGATGTTCCTCCAAATTCTTGGTGGTTAGACTCAAGTGTCACTATTCATGTTGTGAATTCTTTACAGGGGTTCACAAGCTTGAGAAAACCAAGTGATGTTGAGTCCAAGGTTATCATGGGAGATGGAGCTAGAGCATCTGTTGAAAATATAGGAGTAGTGTCTTTATGTTTGCCTTCTAGAAATGTCTTGTTATTAAAAGATGTTGTTTATGTACCTTCTATGAAAAGGAATATTTGATTTCATTTTCAGCTTTAGACAAATGTGGCTACGCTTTTTAATTTGATAATGGTTGTGACACCCTCTACCCTGCATACCATAACATAGAAATAATAAAATTTTGAAGAATATAATATTTCATAATTAAAAAATCAAACTTGTTCAATAGAGAATACCACATCCATGACTTAAACAAATAACAAAATCAATGAAAATTACAACGAAATAATGCTAAGGTTTCCAAAATAATAAGAACAACATCCTAATCTAATCCTATCTATGCCCCAATGTCACATGTCCTATCAGAACAAAGCCCAACATTGAAGCCTAAGCTTCGTCACCAACATCCTCAGCCTCATGTTGATGATCACATGTATAACAATCAAAGGAAAACAACACAAAAGAAAAGGGAGTGAGAAATATCTCACTCTAGCTCACGGTGTAGGAACACACACCGGATAGCTAAACACAAATAATATATGTACATGTACATAGCATAGATAGATTAATAACAATATCACATTCCACTCATCAAAGACATAAAAATCACTTTAACATATAACATTAAAATGCACATGTAAGGGACATG